TTTCATTATCTAATTCCCTTTGCACATTAAAGGAGAGCTTGCAGATCAAAGGGCTTCATAAGACTTCACCTGCAGTTGAATGAGTGTGGACATCAGTCAGTCAGTCAATCTTTATTTATATAGCACTGTTCTAACTACACAGTTTACAAAGGGCTTTATAGACATTTTAAAAGAAGAAAAAGAAAGAAATTAAAGTAAGCACCCAAGAAATTAAAATAGGCACGAAAATAATAAAATGACTTTAACCACTCATGTTCTCCGTTGGGGCCTCTAGCCACTACCTCACAGGGGACTCCGGCCGCTACCTCACAGGGGACTCCGGCCGCTACCTCACAGGGGACTCCTTTACTGGGACAGCGACCCCTGATATTCTCGAAAATAAATGAATACAATAACTGATTTTAGTATGACCGTAAAATGAAATTACAATTATATTTATATGAATTTGTAAAAAAATACATTTTCATCTTAGTTTTAACATACAGTTGCTCTCAGGTTTCCTGGGAGAGAGTTTAGGACCTCAGTGAATAAACTCTGACTCCTCTGCTACATCCTTCACAGGTTTCTCTCCGTTATTTGAACTCACAAATCTTCCTGCATATTCCCTCTTCTTCTGAGATTAAGGATTCAAGCATCAATCAAAGCAAAATAAAAAAAATATGGCATTTAGGTAACCTGGAAAATTTTGCTTGAGCATAACAAAACCTGATTTTACCCTTGATATTTTTTAAAGGTGCTGGCTGTCATACATTTATTAAACAAGAGCAGTCATGGGACTGGCTAATAGTCAACCTTTGTCCAGTGTCAACCTTTGTTAATGTGGTAGTGGTGGTGGGGATAGGGGGCAGAGAGGCTACACTTGCCATCTAAACCATGATAACAATATCATGATAACTTTTGTTGGACTGTATATTTTTCCTGAAACAATTGCGGTAAAATATATTATTGTAATCTTGAAACCATTTTATGCCAGCGATATGCTCCTGAGACCCTACATCCTCATATAAGGACATCATTTTTGTTTAAAACTATTAATTGTTCAAAAAATAATGTTTTTATGACTATGATTATGAGGTCCTACTAATCCCAAATAGCTAAAGTAAATAAAACATGCACACCAAACAAAAGCCTGGGACTCAGGAGGTTAAAATGATAACATACACTACCATTCAAAAGTTTGGGGTCACGTACAAATGTCAAAAGAAAAGCATTTTTTTGTCCATTTAAAATAACATCAAGTTAATCAGAAATACGGTGTGGACACTGTTAATGCTGTAAATGACTATCGTAGCTGGAAATGGCGGATTTTTTATGCAGCATTTACATTGGAGTACAGAGGCCAATTATCAGCAACCATCCGTCCTGTGTTCTGATGGCATATTATGTTTGCTAATTTTATAAGGCAAATTTGATCATTAGATCACACACCCCAGTTAAACTAAACCAAAGCTCAACTCAGTACTACAGTCACAGTGACTAAACTGATTTGTAGGTGATCCATGTGACCGTATACTTTCATTCTCATTCATTCTACTGTTTTAAATTCATACTCATCCAGGCCCTCACTGTGTTGGACTGTGATTACCTGATTAATCGACTGCATGGATGCTTCGGCAGCTGATTGGCTGTCTATACAACTAGCTTTCCTGTTGCCTGATTGTTTGGCAAACCAGCTGATTGCTGATTGGTCAGTAACAAACTGAAGTTAGAATTAATATTCAGTTAACCAATCTCTAAATAAGATGCAGTGTGGCAATGAATTGATCAACATATGGGTATGTTTACCATCTAAGAGCCAAAGAAAAACCAGCCAAAGTCTCCAACATCATAGGATTCTACTAACAATATTCATTAATAATCATGGGTCAGAATTTTGGACAGAATCAGATGCCCCACAGAGTCAGTGGAGTTTCTATATATTCACGCAGTCATTCCTCCCAGCAGTACTCACTACCCACATATCTAGTTGTCTCTTACATATTTACTATGTTCAGATATGACTAAAGGTATTTGTCAATGGTTCATTTAGAGCTGATATCAAAGATCAGAATTGGAGCCGTACTGGCATTTTTTAATTGCTTGCTATGGGCTACCTCAGCCTGATCAAAAGCCCAATCTGTTTAATTTTCCACGTCTGCCTCTTTTACGTCAGTTGAGCAGATTGTAAAGACTCCATCACACACTGCAATAAACCTGAGTCACATGGCTTGAAACAAACTATAAAGATGTTGGCCGTGTGGAAAATCTTTAAACTGAAAACTCAAAGTAGCCCAACAGCTGCCTGCAATGTCTGCAATGACATGCTTTCAAGAGGAAGTAGCAAAAACCTTCTTTAATACAATGAATCTAATTGGGCACTTGCAGAAACAGCATAAGGAAAACGCTGCCAAATCGTGAGCTTTACTCAGACGATGCCTACTGTATAGTCTTTATATATTCAAATATTTATTTAAAGATCAGATCGGGATTGGAATCAGCAGATATAAATATTGAATGGATTAGTTTGGATGAAAGTACCAAAGAAATGGACTGGGACATCTCTAATTTAGAGATGAGTTGTCTTCCCTTGCAGTCAGGTTTACTCAAGCCTTTGCTCAAAGCTTTATGTCTGTATTCATAAATGGCATTATAGAAGTTTTTAAGAAATCCTTTTGGTCTGTGCTACACTAAGGCTCTATTACATGATAGAGTTACACCAAATTAACATGGATGATTACCTTTCTAGAGTGAACATCAACTGTTGTATCACGTACCTTACAGGCTAGTGCGTTAAACCCAGGACTGCTCTGCTCTTGGGAAGAATGAAATCTCCCAAAAGAGGGAGACCATTCATGGCTGTCTTTTACTCTTTAGGTCAGCTCTCCTGCCTTGGGTCACTGGGCCTAAACGTCTGCATTTCAGCCAGCATGACACTGTGATTCATGGTCTCCCAGTCAAGCCCTACCACTCTTTATCCACTTCCTGCTGAGCCTCATTGAAGGGCTTGCAAAATTTATAAATTTATAAAAATTCCACCTGGAAACCTATCCTAAATGCCATTCTTATTATTTCAAGTTAGGCAAATAAGCCACTTCATATGACAGAAACAACATTAACTGGGCACCAGCAGGGAACAGTCCCTTCAGCTAAATGAAAGCTGCACATCCAGGGATAGAATTAATCCATCAGCAGATTGCCTTTAGTCGCTTTCGTCTGTTTCCATGTTACCCATGATCTTTGAAAAACAGTGAGTGGCTCCCAACCATTTTGCTTTCAGTGTGTGTGGATCATATGCAGCGATATCTTCTCCCTCTTCATATGTTTTTATTTATTTTGCTTTTATGTAATGTTTTACATAATGTTGTTATGTAAAAAACTTGTGATTCGGAGGGACAATCTTATTATAATCATAAAGAAACAACTGTATTTTATTCAGCCATTTAACCAAGAGATCGCAATTATCTTAAGAGTAACCAAGAAGTACCAATCCATCATTTCTGTATGTACAATCAATAATTACATTCCAAAGTGATCATTCGTTCAACTTCTTACAGAAATGCTGAAAACATTACTTAAGTATGTAGTCCTCGAACATAAGAATTGTGTATGTGTCATTACCTGCCTGTACGATCCTCCTGTGTGCCACGCCCCCTTATTAACCATGTGTGCAACCCCGATTGTGACCAGCTGTTTTCTGTCAGTTTGATTTGTCCGGTGTATTTAAGTCCACGTCAGAATCTGTAACCCCATGTCTGTCATTGACGTTTTGATGTTACACGTTCCTGTGTCCTGCATTTGGGGTGATTCCAAATAAACCCTTTGATCCTGATTCCTTGCCTCCTCGTTCCTGCTTCCGTGTTCAGTGATCATAACAGTATGCTTATTTTCAGCTAAATTTTTCAATTTTCTACGAAGGCTGGTACTTTTCTGCGAGTAACGACTGTTTTAACAAGACAGGTTCTCCTAAGGTCCACTGTAAGTATATTGTTTTAACATCATACTAAACTTCCTACTAAGTCGTACTGTAATTTCTAATTCTCTACTTTAGCCAATAAATATCCATGTTCCGCTATTGACATTTATGAATCAATCGGTGAAACAGCAGTCCGACAGGCAGCATAGCATAAAGCTTTCTTCCTCCTACGTGGGAATGAAATCTAAAACCTGTCAACATGACACCACACTTTTTTGTCAACTAAGACAGGTGCAGCAAAATGATAAATATATGTCTTAGGAAAGACTAAATAATTTCACTTCCCACTCTCAGGAAAAGGTTTTCCTATGAAGAAAACAACTGGATTGACATACAAATGAGGAATCTTGGCTTGAAATTGAATGTTAGATTAATTATTGATCCAAAAGCACTAAAGAACATCCAGTATAGGAAGGCTTTAAGCAGCCAAGGAGGAACAGTGGAATATGAGATAGCCGTGCATGCTTTACGCCTGGCCCAAAAAAGTTCCTTCTGTATCTGAGATTTACTGTCATACATTTATATTAATTTTCAACTTGATAAGGCAGAACCTTAAAAATCTGCATTTAAAATCAAAAATTACTGTGAAATAAGAACAAATTTAAATAAAAATATAATTATCAATACAAGATAAACATTATGTAATCAGATACTCTAAGCAAATGAGTTGGCCACTAGTGCAAAGCCATAAATAAAAGCATGGAAAAATGCAGCTATAGAAGTAGCCCTTGTGACCTAAAGGTGGCGCTCTAGCTCTCCGAACCCAGAGCTCTAACACAGAACCCACAGACCAGCTATGCCTGTCACTTTCAGCCATCTCAGTTAACTACAATTATTTTTCTGTTTTCTAAGAAATTGTTAAGTTTATTAGCAAATTTCAGTATAAAAAATTTTAATTGTGCTAGTGGTCTAATGCATAAATATCCTCTTAAAAATGAGTATTCAAATGCGCACAGGGCCTCTAAATTCATTTGCACATCCTTCCCCAGAATTATACACCGATTTTAGCAAAATATTAATGAGAGGCAGGTGAATCCATGAATCTTACCTTCGCTGCAGTCCTTTCCCTGGAAGCCAGTCTGCGAGCAGTCACAGGTGGGCTGGTCATCCACTACACTGCAAACCCCTCCATTTAAGCACATGTCCATGGCACAGATATTGTTTCTGACCTCCTCACTGCTGATCAGTATGGGCTCCGAGCTGTTGACCTTCAGGTCAGTTAGCCACCCTTTGAAGGGCACCTGGTCCCTGATGGCTGCCGAGGTCAGCCGGAGCGCCACCGCTCGCAGCTCAGGGGGGATGCCGCCCACAAAGAGGTGACTGAAAACAGTCATGTCCCTCCTTTTTGACTTCACTTCCACCCACTTAATCTCCTTGTCCACAATAAGTGTGGTGTTTTTGAAGTTCCTCCTGATGGCCACCGAGTGCCAAAGGCTGTCATTGACGGCGGTGTCTGATAGCACGGTGGCAGGCTCAGCGCAGAAGATAGAGAAACGTAGGTTCAACTTCCCATTGTGTATCAGCAGCTCCAGGAAGTCACAGAAACCCTCGTCGTCGAAATAGACGAGCAGGCCATGGGAGCTCCTGGTCTTCATGTTGAAACTCATCTCACTCTCGCAGCAGGCGTTCCACACCGGGAACCGGGCCCACTGGCCTTCTGCCCCCGTGAACTCCAAACCCGAGCCGACATCTGCCAGACAGCACAGAACCAGGCTGACCCAAATCAAATAGGCAGCATTCCTCATTGCAACAGCCATGCTGCAAAAACGTGTGAAACTCTCCAGGTTTGGAGGTTACAAGTACAGGGACAATGCTGAGGTGGGGAAACACGAAAAACTGAGCAATCCAGCCTCCCTGCACGACTATGTATAGTGGGCTATTGGCACTGAATTAACTGTCATATGAAATCCTCTCCATATATGCAACAGTCCATCTGCTTGGCTGCAGCCTTCCCATTGCCAAAAAATGTCCCTTGAATTCATGTCTCACGCCATGCTTAAAGTAATAAAGCTTCCCAAAAAACTTTATTTTTTGTATCCTTGTTTAAAACAATCCAGGGGTTAAAAACAATATGTGTAACAGGATAAATCCAAAATGTTCTGTTCTCTATTCCAGGCAAAAAATGAAAAGTCTCCTGCAGTAAATTGCATGCGACGCACATGAACGCAGTGGTTTCTGGAACATGTCCACATTAGAACTGTCATATCATGGAAATGCAGGGGTGCAGGGTAACTCTGTAGTGATCAACACAGCCAATATCACCATAAAACACCATGCAGCAATCTGTGGAGAAATAAGAAAAAGATTATTAAAACATGAACTTTAACAAATAACCTTTTTCTACTAGTACTAAACATGTTAAAGAACATGTTAAAGCATGAAACAAAAAACATGATCTCAGCATCTTATTCATGTGTGACTTAATGGAATGTTTTTCTTTCAGGAGATAGGAGAATGACCTAGGAGAATTTGGTTACAGGAGACAACAGCAACAGGAAGAATAGATTTATAGGACATAGGGGGACCCCAACAGAGGAGGATTACAGGAGACAGAGGGACCAGGCAGAGAAGGGTTACAGGAGACAGAGGGACCAGGCAGAGTCGAGTTACAGGAGACAGAGGGACCAGGCAGAGTCGGGTTACAGGAGACAGAGGGACCAGGCAGAGTCGGGTTACAGGAGACAGAGGGACCAGGCAGAGTCGGGTTACAGGAGACAGAGGGACCAGGCAGAGTCGGGTTACAGGAGACAGAGG